AGGGTCCTCATAGCTGTTGCACATCTGGCAGAAGTAGAAGTAGGAGACAACAACGTCTCGAGGATCCCGTAGGGTGTAGATAACCTGGGGGAGAGTGCATACAGGAGTAAGATGCTCAGAGAAGGGAAAGACAAATTGCAGGCAACGGCACTGGGGTAGATCTGCAAATGGAAGGGTCTGTCAAAGGAGGATCAATTCAGTGCAAGATACAATAATGCGGACCTCAGGCAAGGGTCGAGGAACACATAGGCTCCTTAGAGCCACTGGAGATTCCCCAGAATATCCAAAGGTGCAGATGTGAGATGGGGACTTGCATATTTCCATTCAGAGGGTGTGTAGGATGCCCTACAAGGGTCCTCATCCAAGGTCCATCATTGTAATGTTTCCCAGATGGGCATTGCATGGGCAACGGCCCTCCCAGGCTCCCCTTCAGGCACTGCATGAACACCCACCCCACAAGGGCATATACAGCAGATATGTTGGATATACGTTGGATTCTATGATCCCACCTTGGCAGTGGAATGGGAGAAAGACTTGGGGAAGATGTGCCTGGGGAGGTGGCAGGTCAGCAGGCGAGGTGAGGGGTAGCTGAGGGCTGCCTCCAGACCCAGGCGGGTTGAGAACCAAGGCATGCGGTCAGAATTGAGGACAGTTTGGTTCCAGCTGGGGTGGCCTTGGCTGCGAATGAGGCTCAGGATCTCAGTCATCCACACGGTGCCTACCAGGTACAACAGAAATACAGAGCAAGGGATTTGCCCAGGGCTTCAGGATGCTTGGACCTCAGCAACAGTGTCACCATCAAGTCTGCTCACCTTGAAGAAACTGCCTCCTGCCCATGCACAACCACTGTGCTATAAATATATACGTACATATATCTCTCACCCAAAGCATTCCTGTTCCCATCACAAGAACAGATTCACCTTCTGAACAACAGCTGAACTCTCCCACAACCCACAGACCTTCTGCCATAGACCTCCCCACAAAACCTATCCAGAACAACTCTCCCAGCCTCTCTGTCCTCCCTTGGACATCCCCGTGGTACCAGATTTAGGGTAGGTGATGTTGAAGACATCGTCGTCCCGCACCAGGAACTCGTTGTGGGCAAAACTCAAGCTGTGCACGGAGTTGTAGGCTGGAGGGAATTTAATGCCTTTGTACGTCACGTAGTGCACCGGCATCGTGCTGGGATGGGAATTGGGTGCTGCAGCTCTGCAGGCCTGTAACAGGGAGAGAAAGGAATAGAGCACTGAACTCCAGATAGGAAATGTCTTCCCGCATAACCAGTCCCAAAGAGGAGCAATTCCATCTCCCAGTCATCAGAAGAGCTCTGTGTTACACGAGAACACACTCAGATACTCTCCTTATGGGGATCCAAATGAACAACTACATAAGGCATTTAAGGAGCCCTCAGGCTAAATCTCTGCTAAGGGGTCAACTTCAACCCCCCCTCCCTTGCTGCCTCATGTGTTTACCTGCCCTCACAGCTGGGATGGGTGCATAGCAGCTATCTTAGTAAGAGCCTGGACAACCAGGGAGACAAGAGGCAGTTGGAAACACCAAGCTCTTGTTTTCTACACAAAATACAGCTTTGCTCTTCTTCCAGAAGCTGAGAGAGAATCAAAAGGGGAGGGAAATGGTTTCCTTGTTGCACCATTCTGGAGCAATGATTAACGAGATCCAAAGTCCAACAGCCACCCCTTTCCTGTAAATCAGTGAGCAGAGCTGGTCCTGTGTGTTCTCTGCCCCAAATCCACTGCAAGGCCACACTTTTCTTCTGTGCTCTTATGTTTCCCCATAGAACTCTCCATTTTCCTTCAAAAATATAAAAACAAACCATGAATGGCTTCCTCCTGCAGCATCTGCATTTCTTACCATTTATATATCCCACAGCTGCTCAGAAAAGCCCACAAGCACTTGAGACTCCCTATTCTCATGAGCTGAAGGTCCTTTCTCTTTGTCAAATGAGAAGCCTTTGGAACAG